TGAAGATGATAAAGGTATGTGCCTAAATTACTTTGGCGGTTTTCTTTTTTTTTTTTTTTGCATGGGGTGTTATTGTGTTTTTTCAACAGAAAAAAATGCACTACTGATCTGTGGCCATTTTTATCATCCTTAAAGTAAAAGTTTTGACAGTGGATTCATCAAGTGAAGAAGTTCGTCTGCGACGCTTACATTCACCATCTGTGGGAAAAGCAGTTCCAGAGTGTACTGTTAACTGTCACTCCAGTAAACGGAAACAAGCTTCTCTTATGTCTAATGGGTCCAGTGGTGAAGTAGAAAATCTTACAACTTTTAAAAAAAGGCGATTCACTCAAGAGGTAAATTTAAACAAAATGTCTTTTGCCTTTTGTACTCCTAACAAGTGTATGTAAACACTTTTCATATGTAAACTAGTGAAAATAAAAATGTTTAAAGCAATATTAAATGCTGTTCCTTCCTCCCGGGTTCTGTCTGTCCAGGTGCTTGAATGGCTGGACTGCGATGACGCCACTCATTTGCATGGGAGCTACAGTGGGGCAAAAAAGTATTTAGTCAGCCACCAATTGTGCAAGTTCTCCCACTTAAAAAGATGAGAGAGGCCTGTAACTGGCATCATAGGTAGACCTCAACTATGAGAGACAAAATGAGAAAAAAAAATCCAGACAATCACATTGGCTGATTTGGAAAGAATTTATTTGCAAATTATGGTGGAAAATAAGTATTTGGTCAATATCAAAAGTTCATCTCGATACTTTGTTATATATCCTTTGTTGGCAATGACAGAGGTCAAACGTTTCCTGTAAGTCTTCACAAGGTTGGCACACACTGTTGCTGGTATGTTGGCCCATTCCTCCATGCAGATCTCCTCTAGAGCAGTGATGTTTTGGGGCTGTCGCTGGGCAACACGGACTTTCATTGTGAATTTAAAATTACAGGCCTCTCTCATCTTCTTAAGTGGGAGAACTTGCACAATTGGTGGCTGACTAAATACTTTTTTGCCCCACTGTATGTCATCACTGCACAGAGTGCATGCTGTAAATGTGAACTAAGCTGCACTTGCGTGGCTCAGTGTACATGACAACTTACTGGCAGAGACAAGCATTTATGGCAGCGGAGACTGATAGGGTATTTTCTGTCATTAAAAACCCCACTTGTCAGCTGTTTTTAGAAAATTGAGTTTAATACCACTTTAAGATATGCATCAAATGACATGCAGTTGTCCACTTTCTTGAAGAATGTTGAATGGATGGATAGAATATAAAAAGTATGCAAAAAAAAAAAAATTAGAAAATGTACAAGCAATAAAATATGTTTGTACATCTCTTTAAAGTGGTAGTAAACTCACTCTCGACACTTGTACCTACAGGTAAGCATATAATAAAGCTTACTTATAGGTACAAGGAATATCTCCTAAACATGCACCATTTAGGAGATATTCAGTGTCGCTGCAGCCGGTGACGTCACAGCGCATGCGCTCTGAAGGAACGGCATACCTGTGCTGTTCCTTCAGAGCTCTGTGCTGCGGCTGAGACTCCCACACGTGTGAGTGACGTCATCGCGGCTCAGCCATTCAAGCAGACAGAGCCCAAGAGTCCGGGAGGAAGAATGGGTGAAGAAGGAAGCCCTGTCAGCAGGGCTTCTTTCCAAGGTAAGTATTTCATAATGTGCTAGTATCTAATGCATACTAGTACATTATGACATTACTGTGCAGGGAGAAGATATATATATATATAATTATTTTTTTTTCCCCCAGTAAAGTTTATTACCGCTGTAAAGGGTGTGTGCACATTTCTGCTCCCCTCAGCCTGGAACTTTTTAAATGGAAAATACCTGCATAAAACCCTGTTTCTCTAAAATATTTACTGTCAGGGCTCATCCACATCATGCGCAGCAACTTGCATTTTTTTGCACCTCCGCAAGGGCACATAGAAAACAACTGTTTTCTATGCACCCTGTTCACACCACAGCACTGGCGTGATGTTTGGTGTGGAAAAATGCAGACATGCTGTATTTTTCCACAGAGTACTTAATGGCACAGTCGGTAAATGCAGTGCTGTGTAGAGACTTAAATGGAGTGTGTACAATTTGTACACTTCCAGTAAGGTTAAAAAAACTGAACAGTGTGATGCACTAAAACATCACACTGCTCTCATCTCATTGCCCAGCAGAACTGACAGCAGCCCACACACAAAATAAAGCTTTTTTTGCATGTGGGCAGTGTGAATGGGCCCTGATACCAGCAATGTTCTGCACAGCCTTTTATAGCTGAATGGAGGCTGTGGTGGGTGTGCACTCTGCAAAATTCGGGAGACTGAATTTTGCAAAGTGCTACCAGTGCTTGCCCACTACAGCCTCCATTCAATTTGACAGCTTGTCAGGCAATTTCACATCAGTCTGTATGACAGCCAGGTGGTAGGTTTATGCGACAGATGGTGTACACATACCTTCAGGGGTATCTCTTTGACTGTGATCGAGGGATCTTCAAAGAGACCTATATCAGAACAAGGGATGAAAGAGAAGATAATGCACTGGGCCAGATGTAGAAAATGGCACAAAGGGAAAAGGTGCTGCCCACAGCAAACAAAGAGGTACAAAGCTATGCACAATTATTCATTCCTGGAGACATAAAAAATTTGTGATGAGCATAATTTAAAGAGAACCTGTCACCAAACCATTCATTTCAACAAAAATCTTATCCATAGAAGACGTTCTTGTGCATATAACATGTTTTATGTATGTTTTTTACCTGTAAAAGTTGAGACTGATGCTAGGCACCACCATATTGGATGTGATGTCAGCACTGCCTGCAGACTGTGAACTGGCACTCAGGTGACATTTTGTGGTAGTCCCCCTTCTCCTCTCCCCCTGGCAGCTTCATAAAGGTAACTTTTATATGTTACAATCTGACTGTACAATCTATATGCGATCAACTAGATTCACCAAAACAATGTAATATGAGAACCTACCGACATTATCCAGTCAGGCAGGCCCTTGCTATATAGTTTTTTGTTATATTTTGTTATATTAAAAAAAAGATTGTACAGCCAGACTGAAAAGGTTATATTATTGGGGGGGGGGGGGGGGGGTGATCCTGGACCAGCACAGAGAGTAATTATACACTGGCAGAAGAGGAGAGGGGGAAAGAGGGCTGCGCTATTGTGCTATGAAATGGACTCTCCTGGAGAATTAAAAGGATAATGCAGCAAGTAAAATTTTAAAATACTTGATTTTTCTGTAATTTTAAATGCAGTTTTGAAAAGTTGGTGACAGGGTCTTTTTAATTCCACAGACCCTCTGGTGTTGATTTAGTAAACCTGGAGAGTGAAAAATCAGCTTCCAGTTTGTTTGTTTGTCAAAGCTTAATTGAACAAGCTGAAGTTAGAAGCTGAGTGGCTACCATGCACAGCTGCACCAGATTTTGCACTCTCTGGTTTTAGTAAATCAAATCTCTCTCTCTCTCCCCCTCCCCCTCCCTCTCCCTCCCCCCTCCCCTCTCCCCCCTCCCCCCTCCCTCCCCTCTCCCTCCCCCTCCCTCTCTTCCCCCCTCCTCTCCCCCCTCTTTCTCCCTCTCCCCCTCCCCTCCCCCCCTCCCTCTCCCCCCCCCCTCCCCCCCCTCTCCTCTCCCCACCCCCCTCTCTCTTTTTTTCTCTCTCTCTCTCTCTCAACCTCTCTCTCCCTCTGTCAACCCCCTCTCTCTCTCTCTCTCTCCTCTGTCGACCCCCTTCTCTCTCTCTCTCATCCTGCGTGGGAACAAGCCACGCTGTATGTCAATAGATGCACACAGCCTGGCTCGGGAGCTAGTCCACAGATGTGCACCATAGGAAGTGACTTCATATGTTAGTGAACTGAGAAGGGGGGGGGGGTTCTGGGCTGCTCTGTGCAATACCATTGCACAGAACAGGTAAATATAACATGTTTATTATCCTTTTATCCTAAAGTATATCTAAAGGTACATTGGTTTAGTAATGAATAGTTTGAGGGAGTGTTGAAATCCCTGTTAACATTTTTATTGCTGTCTGTGTCCCTGCTGGGGAAATTTGCCTTTTCTGTTTGTCCCGTTATCCCTTAGATAGTGAGGGGGTATCCATCAATTTACATATTTCACTGGGGAGGAAATCTTCCGGAAGGGACACCTGTACCAATGACAATTAGCAGGACAATTGCTCTCACTGTGGAGAGATTTCCGGTCACTTCCTGTTATATCTCTTGGACAGGTAGTGAAAGAACATTTTCCTAACAGTACACAGACAAAAACCTATCTGGGGTTTTAACCATTCACTGCTCTGTCCAAATCTAGATAAGGGACTTCAACTGGAGTGTATAAATTTGTCCTAAAGGAACGTCCATAGCCATCACCTTTTTGGTAGCTTATTGCCAAGCTATGTGTTAAAAGTTTTCGACACAATACTGTTCTGTGATAATATTTTTCTATGAAACTATGTAATGTATTATAATTTTAATTTGAAGGTTCAAGGAAATAGGTTTGATCTTTATGACATGATGAAGTCCTTGCAAATCACCCCCTTGATACCATTCTAGAAGTATATATTGTTTATGTTAAGATGTTAAAAAGGCATGTCTTTAACAACCACAACACTTCTAAAAGCAAGTTACTTAGCACAAGTGCATTTTATAATCTGTTTATGCTATACCCCAAATTTCTACACCATAAAATAATAATTGGAATGTTACAGTGGCAAACTTTTGTTTACTAGTGCTTAGGTACTAATTCAAATGTGCAGGTTTTAATATCCTTAGCTGCGACAGGTGCATACTGTATTTTGATAAATTATACTTTGTGTTTTAGGGTCTGCCTTCAGGTTTGAAAACCAGGGATTCTGCATGTTCTGCCCAGGCAAATGTTGAGTTAAGTATTGGCTCTGAACACAGTACTGAATCCCCAGGTGAAGAAGACACAGTGTGCGAATTTGCCACATCTTACAAAAAACCTCTGTATGGAATTTCACACAAGATTACAGAGAAAAAACATTCTATTGCATCTGATCTGTTGACATCTTTTGAAATTTATGAGAAGGTAAATCAGTGTAGCTCTTCAGGAGTTCGGATGTTCAACGATCTTCGTAAACGTGAACCAGGCTCTAGTTCAGTAACTTCACCAGTCGGTGATGAGTCAAACCTTTACACTTTAATACAAAAAAATGTTTTTCACACTCAACACTCTCAATTCCAATATGTCTCAGCTTCATAGTAAAGTTGACCTTTTATCCCTTGAGGTAAGTAGAATAAAGAAAAAAGTCAGCCCTAATGACATGGTGGCAGATTTTCATCCACCTCCTGAGTATCAGCTTACTAGCACTGAACTTAAACAAGCAATGGACCAGAGCACCTCAGCTGGTGACTTGGCATGTCGCTTGCTAGTTCAACTATTCCCTGAGCTTTTTGGAAGCAGTGCTTTGTCCAGGAGCTGTAATACATGTGGCTATGTCAACAAGATTAAACTAGAATCCCTTCATCTCCAGCTCATAAGAAACTATGTGGAGGCATGTTATCCCTCTGTCCAGAACAATGCTGTTTGGCAGGTTGAAGTCTTGCCTCAAGTAAATGATTTCTTCAATCGTTTTTGGGCTGAGAGAGAAATGGAAAGCAGCCATCATGGTCTGCAGGCCTCCCCGTTCTTTGAAAATCAACCATGTCAGAATTCTCACTTTGTTGAAAGTAAAGAACAAGAGGAAAATGCCACTTTAGAAAGAGCCAACCCCCATGGTTTCAGAATACGCCATCAATGTGAAGGACCTCAATGAATGTTTAGAGGAAGCTTCTAATCCAGGAGAATTTGCAGTATTTTTGCTTCATAGATTATTTCCAGAAATATTTAACCAAAGAAAACTTGGCGAAAGGAATTTTGGAGACCCTGAGAATTTTACTCTTGATCCTCACCGACTGCAGCTGATCCGTCAGTACACAGAGATATACTTTCCAGATATACAGGAAGATGATATTTGGCTGCAGCAGTGTGTGCAAAGAATAAATGATGAGTTGGAGAGTCTGTTCATGGATGGTAGTGAGTGTGATGAGATGAGAGATGACTGTTATGAATCTGGTTTACCTGATGACCTGTCCATTGTAAAGGTAGAAGATGGCACTGATAATGACATGGAAAAAAACCAGGAAGAAAGTCCAAAAAAATTTGGCTTGTCCCTTTTGATTTTGATAAAATTGACATTCCACCCCCTGACTTTGAGGTTCCTTTTCCACAATTCTTGCTCAGCAAAGAGCAACTCCAAAATATATATGAGACTAGCTTGTCTATTGGTAACTTTGCCTCACGTCTGCTAGTACATTTGTTCCCTGAACTATTCACACATGAGAATTTGAGAAAACAGTACAACTGCAGTGGTTCACTGGGTAAAAAACAGCTAGATCCAGTTCGCGTGAGACTTATCCGGCATTATGTTCAAGTACTTTACCCCAGGGCAAAAAATGATAGAGTTTGGACTTTGGAGTTTGTGGGGAAACTCGATGAGAGATGTCGGCGGAGGGATACAGAACAAAGACGATCTTATCAGCAGCAGAGAAAAGTGTATGTACCCTTGCCTGAGAGAAGAGACTTTGTGCCTTTCGAGTTGAACTCAGAAAGATACAGAGATCTTATAGAAGGACCGCCTCTGCCTCCTGAACGTAGCACTAAAGACTTCTGTAAAATACCATTGGATAAGATTGTCATTCCACCTCCTGATTTCCCTGTGCCTACAATATACTTACTTAGTGACAAAGAAATAAGGGACATAGTTCAACAGAGCCTTTCCGTTGGGAATTTTGCTGCCAGACTATTAGTGAGACTCTTTCCAGAGCTGTTTACTCCAGAAAATCTTAGGCTGCAGTACAACCACTCAGGTGCATGCAACAAGAAGCAGCTGGATCCCATAAGACTAAGATTGATCCGCCACTATGTGGAAGCCGTATACCCTGTAGACAAAATGGAGGAAGTATGGCATTATGAATGTATTCCGAGCATTGATGAAAGGTGCAGGCGCCCAAATAGGAAAAAAAATGTGACATACTAAAAAAAGCTACAAAAAATCAAGTTAATAACTGCTGAAAATTTTAGTAAATGATAGTAAATTATTTTAGTTGTCTTTATAGAGATTTATAGTGCTGCTTTTACCTATATTTTTCTTTTCCGAATATTACTTGTAAAAGAGTATGGGAAAAATAGTTTGTTAGAATGTGAGACTGACTGCGTATTTGCACTCCCCTTAAAACATTTCCGTGTGTTTAATATTAACTGCATTTCTCTTGAGAAGTTTGTTCAATTTTGTACATTACGAATGTTTGTTTTTTTTATAGTTCATTTCAATATGCTCGTTACATTTCATTTTTCTAGGTATACTATTTTTGCTGCTTGTAAAGTGTTGTGGAACCCAACATTAGTAATGGGTTACCAATATTTTTGTAAAGAAATTGCTTTAGAATTTCCTACATAAAAACAAACAACATTAGTCGGTATAGTCTTTTCTTGACTAAAAACCACAATAAAATTAATTTGTCTTTTAAACTCATAAAGCAGTATCAGTCCTCATGCACACTGGACGTTTTTACAGCTTCTGTTATGGCTTTTGGCGTTGTTTTCTACAGCCAGTAAACTTCCTAGCATGTTCATGCACACATAGGCTTTAATCCGCATTTTTTGGCTGGGAAAAAAACCCAGGACTAGTGGGTCTCTAGAGGAATTTTTTAGCTGTAAAAACACTCTAACGAGGCAAACCAGCACTTTGGAGCTTTTTTTTTTTTTTTACCAAACATATGTGTTTGTTTTTTTTGTGTAAACAAAAAATAAGGCTAAAAAACGCAAATTCGGAAAAAAAACACAGCTAAACGCTAATGCAAAAACTCTAAAAACTTGCGTTTTTAACGTGACTTTACACAGCTAATGCTACCAACATTATTAAAATGCCCAGTGTACATGGAGCCTAAAACCCAAAAACTAACAATTCATATATTACAGCTTATCAATACTCATATGTGGTGGCTGCATTCCTTCTTTTTTGTTTTTTTTGGTGGTGATTAGGAAACCCATGTGAGCTAGTCCATTGGGAAGCTGTCAAAGCTGACAGTCAGTTATAGGTGGCAGAGTCCTTTCCCACCCTGGAGCCACTTAAGATTGATTGTTGGCTTTAATAGCTTCTCTGTGGAATAGTTCAAGTGGGTTTGGGATCATGTCCGAACACGAGTGAGCTAATCACTGATGGTGATCCAACCAGTAACACACTTTGTCTTAAGGTGTCTCCACTCTGAGTGGAGGCATAACGGATACACCTTGGGCCGACAGCATTGTCAATCTGGGGAGAGGGTAGTTTTAGATGGGCTTGACAAACAAACACCTGCTAACACTTTTTAAAGACTAAATTAATCTTAATATTAAATACACAGGATTTTGAAGGTGTTAATATGTTGTTATTATTAATAATATATATTTTTTTTGTTAACAAAAAAGCATTATGCCTACGATTGGCAGATCATGGGTGCAATGTCAGGCTCCTGCACGGTCTTCCTCTCGTTTTGTTCCTGTATCCCCGTACGGGCTTTCTGTTACAAAGCTAAAGGAAGAATGAATGAACTACAAGCGTGCTAATATGTGCACTCACAGCCCATTCAAGCTACATCTGCCATGGGACTTGTAGTTCTTGTTGTTCATTCAATCACAGAACTCTGAATGACATGAACTCTGCACCACTGCGCTGTTTTGTGAAAGAGGGTGCATGGAGAAGATCCCTCGCTCGCTGTAATGGGGGGTGAATGGAGGGGGGGGGGGGGGCTTAACAGTAACATGTTACACACTAAATACCAGTGTAACATGTTACCAAATGTGAACTTCTCATTTAAGCAATTAGAGCAAGTTTTTGTTTCCTTTTGGGGTAAACGTTTTACAACTTTTGCTGCACAGCTTGCTCTGATGAAAAATAACAGACATACTTGCAGGATCAAAAGATGAAAAGAAAAGGAAAAAAAAAAATCCTAAAAAAAAAATGCAGCAGCCACATCTAAGAATTGGCAAATTGCAATATAATACATTTTGCGGTTTTCAGTTTAATGCAGCTTTAATGTTTTCTGTGTTCTTTTAACACATTTAATATACTGTAAAACACATTCCATAGATTTCACTTTTATTGTATGTTGGTGAATACTGGATGCCAGCTCAAGGCCTTGTGGGGTTGGTTTACTAAGTGAACAGAAACTGTTCTCGTAGCGTGATAAATAGGATAAAACTGGACCTACACTACTTCAGTCAATCAATAATGTCCCAGCAGAAATCCTGTGTTTTTTTGTTTGTTTTGTTTTTTTTACCCCCCACATGTTTAGGAATTAAAGTTAATACAAGATTGTGTTTTATTTACATTTTACAAAGTGAGCATACACTTTTAAAAGTGAGCGTTCACTCTAAGTGAACAGCATTTGATTATTTAATAATTCAATCCCATTCTGTGCAGTATATTTTAAACTTTTCATGTAGATTGCCACATGGCTGTGAGAGTAACTGGGAACTAGCTTCACAACCGTAAGAATGGCACCTTAACTAAAATGAACCTGCGTGTTGGTTCTATAGGGCAAAGAAACAGGATTTCTTTACATTTTTCCTTTTATTGCCCCAAGGTTGTCATGCTTGCAGCAATAGGTTGCTGGTGATGTAGTTGATGACTTGGCATATTTTTAATTTCACTTACTAAAGTAAAAAAAAAATAGTTTGCTTTTTTATTAATTTGATAAGCAGAAGTTGATTGCTTCAATTGTTGCAGTTAACAGCATAACAGGTCATAATTTTCTTAAAAGGTTACTCCACCCAGATGCAGATTTACTTTGCTTCTTGATTTGTGGAATATAGACTGCTGCAAGCTCTTTCTTGACAGCAGTATCTGTGGAGAAGTAGGCATCAAGCCTATATATCTTGAGGTGCTTTCGCACTTATGTGCTAATACTATGATTTCCTTCCTTTCTCCTCAACATCAACAAACTGGAATCCCTAAATACAGCACTGACTAGGACCAAAGGCAGCTAAGCTGCCATTCACAAAATGTGTTGACTTTCATTTTCACCATGAAAACAGTTGTCATGAGGACAATTTGAACCAGCATCTACCTCTTTGAAAATGTATGGTTCTTATGCAAAGACACGTTTTCATCTGTTCTTTTATTTTAAACATTTTTGGTCAGGATGTATGTTAAAGTTTACTTACAGTGAACCTTGACCCAGTCTATGCACACAAATGTATTGACATATTCTGAATAATGAGTAAAAAACATTTTAAAACATGCCTTCATTCACCTCTAGTTATAGGCATTGTGGAGAAATTCATTTTCAAAGTCCAGAACAGAGGCATTCTCTTTGAAAGCAAAATCTTGCCAGTCCTCTAATGTAAACACAGAGAAGGTGTTTCGAAGGGCTTATGGATATGGGTGCTGAGACCAGTCCTCCATGCTGAGCTGCTTTTTGCTGCCTCTTCATCCACCTCAGAGCTGCACGCAGGCAGGCCACAGAAGAGGGTTCAGACACAGTGGGTGCAATGTCAGGCTCCAGCTTTTTTGCCCATACCTCTGTATGAGTCTTCTGTTTGAAAGCTGGAGGACATGTCAGTGGGGTGACGAGTGTGGTCATGAGCGCCCTCAGTCCACTGAGAACTATAAGTTATCTGCCACGTTGGCAGATGGGAGAAGGTCCTGTGAATGAATGACACGGCTGTGCGTTGCTCAAATGTGGTAGCAGGTGTGAAGAGAGG